TAGCAACCTAACTGGCAGGGTAGCAGCAGGAAGTAATACAGAAAATGGGGGGAGCAAACTAACAAACTTAAGAACACACCACAGCATCGGGGAAAAGGAGCTGAGGTGCATTATCTGCATGTCCTTCCAAAAGGAGTCACTCATCTCATGAGGTTCTGAAAATTCCCTGTGTCACAAGGCATTTTAATCACCTGCATTGAGGGGAAACAGAAATATTTAGTGAAACGAGTTCCTCTCAAGAAAATAGACAAGATGTTTTATTTTCTCTGTGAAAAGCTGATAGGGACTGTCCACCTTGAAAACAGAGCCTTTCCTGTCATGTGGTAGGCACAACCCCCATGTTGAAATGAGCATTTTCAGAGATCCTGTTATTATGTAGAACATCAAATTTTGTTTCCAAATCCTCCTGATAATCCCTTTCCTGAGCAGCCACAGACAGACTCACAGGAGTGAAAGGATTGTTGTAGGTGTCAGGGGAACAGAAGGCTGGGAGAGGGAATTCCCTGTGTGGGATTCTGTGACCCAGGAGAGGAGCAGTGGGTGGGAGGGCAGAGTTCAGGGATTAGGTGTGCAGTGCTTTTCCTTGCAGCAGGCTGATGTGGTGGGTGCCAATCCCTGCTGGAATCACTGCTGTGAGCATGCTGGAGCTGCAGCACCATTGTGGGGACTCCCCCTGTCCCTGGGAGCTCTGGGGACAGGGCTGCAGAGCCTCACAGGTGAATTTCCTTTCTGCTGGCAGAGAGAGCACTGACCAGTCCTACCAGCTCCTGAGGGACTCCTTGGACCTGTACCTGGCCATGTATCCAGACAATGTGCAGCACCTCATGCTCCAGGCCAGGTTGTACTTCCACCTGGGAATCTGGCCAGAAAAGGTACCTGGGCACTCTGGGGAATGCTCTGGGGAAGGCTGAACACTATCAACACTGGGTTATTGATTTCTGGGCTATGTCAGCCTGCATTACAGTCTGCCACGATTTGTTTCTGTAATAAATGCAGTTGGAGGAGTTCTCAAATTGCAGGGAATCAATTTGAAGCAGGGAGAGTGGATGATTCTTGGCTGTTTGTCCTGGGGGAGGCTTGGGAGCAGCTTTGAGTCATAATTTATGATTTACAGCTTGTCTTGTAACCAACACCATGGACTGTGAGTTCTTAGAGCATCCTGTGCCTAAATTGTGGTAAAACTCCTGCTGGGCTCCTGGAAAAGGAGCAATTACCTTATCAGAAAACTTTAGGAAGTTATCTTTTATAAATAAAACCAAAACTGTACTCCCAACTTTGTCCACACAGCCTGTGGCTCTTGTGACAAAACAGCTTGATATTCCTGTCCTTGGAATTCCTTTTCCTTCAGGGTAACAATTGAAATTGCTTTTCCTTCAGGGTAACAATTCCTGTTATCTTGGGAATGTGGAAAAGAAGGTGCTGAGATTTACAGGTTGTCTGGATCATCCAAGGCTTTCACTGAATCAGGGAAGAGCCTGTAACTCCAAAAAATCTGATTTTTTTAGTGTGTCACTGCAGCACAGAGGTTTTTCCTACTCAGAATTCCCTGTGTTGGTTCAGTGGAGACTGTACCAATTCCATCTGTGAGGTTTGGGAAGGGGACAGGAATATTGGCTGGACAGCTGAGCAGAAACAAAGCTCTTCCCACCAAATCAACTGGAACAGGATGCTGGAGAAGCTCCCTTCTTCCCTTTGAAGAGCAAACTCTGCTAAGCTTGCCCTTCCTTTCTTAAGGCAGCAAATTTTAGGACCAGCACCAAAAAATTGTGTATGACAGGGACTCAGTGAGCTGCATATAAATATGGAATATTGAAAGATCTTCCTGCCCCTTGCTGGCACTCAGGGCAGTTTGAAGAGCACCAGATTTGGATTTGCAGCCCCCCAGAACACAGAACCCAACGCCAGGGCTGAATTTTACTGAGTTTTCCTGAGCTCTCTGCACCAGCTGCAATGGAAATGAGCAAATTTGGATTTTTCAGGACTGTATCCAGTCGTTCCAGGCTGTCAGGCAGGATTGCAGCTAAGCAGAGAGAATGTTGTGTCTGACAGGACACAATGTACCAGCTTTGACAGGAGCTGCCAGATTTATGGATGGCTAGGAAATCTAAAAAGTCCTGCAGAACTACACAGAATGTTGTCCTAAATATTTGTAAATAACAGTAAATAAAACTCCCAAAAATCTCTGGCAGCTGTGGTTACTTCTTCCTATAGGATTTTTCAGGATTTTCACATCCTTCTTAATTCTTAATAGAATTAAAGTGGCCAAGAAGCCTGAGCTGTGTTTCTTCTCATGAATTACTCACTTGTCCTTTATTTAAATTGATTTTCCTCGATTTTTGGCTGCTGTTCATGCTGAACAGCCTGAGATTTCCATTCCTCTTCTGCTGCTGCTCTGAACTTAATGACCAAACCTATGATCAAGGAGACAATCCTTTTGCCATGTGCCAAAGTGTGACAGATTTTGGGACTTGAGGTATTTGATGTTGAGACAGATACCTGTCTTTTCTCATCATGTTTACATAACAGATTGGGGTTTTTTTCCTTGCTTTTACCAAAAAATTTAAATTTGCTTTGCCTGCATCTCACAAACTCAGCAGCAGGTGCTCTGATGTTGTGCCAGAGGGTGTTGGGAGGCTGGAATTGTGGATGTGCAGACCTTGCTTTGTGTTTTTTAGTCATCCTGAGACAAGCAGCTTTTCTGTCTTGTTCCATGGGGAAGCATCATGGAGGTTATTTCCACTTCCTCCTGTGCTGCCCTATTTTTGCTCCTCACAGACATGCTGAGAAGCTCTTTTAAGTTAAAATATTAGTTCTCAAGAGCACCAGAAGTCACCTGGAATCACTTCCCAGCAGCTTTTTTGGCACATTGGGAACTCATGACCAGAAACTTTGAGAGGTGCTCTGTGGGCACTAAAGAGGATGTGATGAACTCGTGGGGCTGAGTTTTAAGGAGCTGCTGAGCTCTCCAGTGCCTTTCCTGGAGCTGGGAGCTTTACAAAAAGAAAAGGAGTAAGAACAGGCTGTGTGCAGGCTGAGCATGAAGCTGTGGCAGAGAACAGTGTGGAAGAGGTTGTGGCAGATCTCAGGGCACTCACATCCAGCAATGCATCTGTATGTGTTCATGTCTGGGTCTGAAAAGAGAGCTGTCTGCTAAGGAAGGCAGGAGCCTCCCCTGAAATGGAAAATGCAAACCCCCTCCCTCCAAACTGTTATCATTTTGAAATTAAGGGGCTCTCAAGCAAAGGTATGGGANAAATAATAATACCCATGAGGTGATGTGGGAATTATGGAAAAGAGGGAAGGTAACAGATAGTGTCTAGGAAGAAGCTGAGAAATGAAGATGTTTAGGAAAGCTTTCCTGAAATTCAGTTCTGCTGCTGCTGCTGAATAGTAACAGATTTCCTTCTCTAGCCCTAGAGGAGAATGTTTATTTTCCACATGGAATTAAAACCATACAAAGGGGAAAAACAGATCTTTAGGAAAGTTTTCCTAGAACTGCTGGATAATAACAGATTTCCTGAAATAATAGTACCCATTAAGTGGTGTGAAAATTATGGGAATGAGAAAAGGTAGCAGGTAGTTTCAGTTCAGGAGGGAGCTGGGGAATGAAGGACACAGGATGGAAGTGCTGAGGGAAGAACAGGAACAGCAAACCCTGCTTTAGCACGAGGCCCTGCCCACAGTTTGTGCTCTGTGTTGCCTCCTCAGGAGCACAGATATTTTTGACTACACCTACATCGATGCCTTTGGGAAGGGGAAGCAGCTGACGGTGAAGGAGTGCGAGTACCTGATCGGGCACCACGTGACAGAGGAGTTCTATGGGGTGGTGACCTCCAAGGAGGTCCTGCAGCGCATGGTGGGGAACCTGCTGAACCTTGGCAAGAGGTGAGCTGGGGATCCACACCCTGGGGAAAAGGGGGCGTGAACGGCCCTGGAATCCGGCTGTCTGGTGAGGGGCGAAGGCCAGGGCCCCTGTGCAGCTGAAGGCAGCCCCCCTCGGTGTCTTGGCCTCGGGCTGAGCTGGGGGATAGCTCGGAGCAGCGCGGTGAGAGACGAATTAGGAGGCGACCACTTGCTGGGGGTAAACTGTCGGTTTATTACAGAAGAACCAACAAGGAGGGGAAACACCCAGCAAAT